TTATATATTAATAGTTTTATATAACCTATTAGCGCTTTGGTTAATAAAGTCGTCACTTCGCTCTGCGCTATGTGTTTCGAAGCAAAAATAAAGCCCCATGCAATGCATTGCGCATTGCACTTTGGTTAGCACTGATCCACCCAAATCTTTCATATCATATCAAAAATACCCTCATTTTAATTTAAATAAAAAGGGAATTACACCTTTTCATGCCTAGGCAGGGTGGTCTGTATGTAAAAATTGAAGTTTAGGTGCTTGGAATGTAAATACTTTAGAATTGAGTGGTGTGTATTTAAATCTTCGTTTAAATAAAATAAATATTCTTTTGGATGTGTAAACTTTTTCTCTACTATGACATTTTAATTTTTTAACGTGCGTGGTATCTTGAAGCATTTTGGAGAACCTAAATCCTTGTTTAAATCATGTGATTTGCCTTTCGGTTAATGCTGTCCCTTTTTTGCTTTTTATTCTCTCTCTCTCGCCCCCTATTATTGATTGGATGTTTGATTGGTTTCCTTAAAATATCAATTAATATATGTTCTTCTATATGCTATATCTCAAATATGACATGTATTTGATTGTATGATTTTCATGATCTCTAATTTTATGCTTTATTTTATAGGGAAATTTACATACACGCCATACAATTCGTGTGCATTTATATATCTAACACCCAGTTTGATATTTACATTTATAACACCTTAATATCATAAACTTATACATAAACATGTGCAATCATGTGATTTGCCTTTCGGTTAATGCTGTCCCTTTTTTGCTTTTTATTCTCTCTCTCTCGCCCCCTATTATTGATTGGATGTTTGATTGGTTTCCTTAAAATATCAATTAATATATGTTCTTCTATATGCTATATCTCAAATATGACATGTATTTGATTGTATGATTTTCATGATCTCTAATTTTATGCTTTATTTTATAGGGAAATTTACATACACGCCATACAATTCGTATGCATTTATATATCTAACACCCATTTTGATATTTACATTTATAACACCTTAATATTATAAACTTATACATAAAAATGTGTATTTCACTTTTAAAAGGTAATGAAGGTGATATTTTTCATGTGATGTTAAAGATTTGAGTGGTATGCAAGTATGAATGTTTAGGTGTTAGATATGTAAATACATAAGAATTGTGTGTATGTAGATAAATGTCCTTATTTATATTAGAATGCCAAAATCTTATTAATGGGTGTGTGTATGGATTTTGTTTTTTCTTTCATCATTGGTAGTGAATACTTGGTGACTAATAGCTTGTTCTCCCTCAAAATTTCATATTTTTTAAAGTTTTTTGCATCAAATCTAAATCTTCTATAAAAAAGCAAAGTCTTTCACATAATTGTTTTTATCAACTTCTCAGTATTTCTACAAGAGTTTAAATGGTAAATGCGCGGGTGTTTTATTTTATATATGATTTGAACTTCGAATTTTATCTGCCTTTACAGAAATATAATCCTACACAATATTTATTTGTAAGCATCTTTTATAGATGGGAATATGCTGGCTGCGGCTGCTGGTCTTTTGAAGGTTTTTAGTTGCGCAGACCATACTAAGATACAAAAGTTCTCCGGGCATCCGGTTAGTTAGCCTTACTGGTAACTGCTCTTAATTAAATATTTTTTAGGAAGATTTACATGCGTATCATTCAATTATGTATTCACATATCTAACACCTAAACTTGAATTTTTACATAGATGCCACCTTACCTGTGCATAAAAAGGTGTTTCTCACTTTTTAAAAGTTAAAATAGTGATTTTTTACGTGATATGAAAGATTTGGGTGGTATAAATGTAAAAATCAAACTTTAGTTTCTATTTTTTATTATGATCTCACTGATATCCTCATATGACTTCATTATTCCCATATGGTCTATAGTTAAATATTTTGAATTTTGTCTTAAAATTGTGCTGGCTGTGCTCTAGGTTTCTGTAAGATGCATGATCTTTAGTGAAGATGGAAAGTCTGTACTAACTTCAGGAGTTGGTGAAAGACACATTGCTATATGGAAAATTGATGGAACAAAAAAGAAAAGCGCGAGCTGTGTTCTTTTAATGGAGCATCCCGCCATTTTTCTTGACAGTCGTGGCTCGAATCATGAGGATTTGAAGCTTCGAGGTTTATTCGTTCTTGCACTTTCAGAGATTGGTGTTTGTTATTTCTGGCATGGAAATCACATTGAGGAACTACCAAATGCGAGGCCTACGAAAATTTCGCCAGAAATTGAATCTTTTCCATCAAAGGGCAACAATCGAGCAATATTTGCTGCAAAACTTGATAGAATAGTTCGATCTAGTGTTGGATCTGTGCGGGTTGCCCATGGATCTTTGATAAAGCCATCTTTTGAGAAACTTATAGTCGAACACGGCGTCGACATTAGCTTGAATACATCGAAGGAGGGTCTTCTTTTTCATGTTGGTCTGTCTCACATCTCGAGTAAAGAGAAAGTGGTTAATGCTAAAGGTATGATATCCCTCAAAAACTAAATGAATTTTCGTGCTAGATTCAATCACTATTTTTTTTGTACACTTCACATGGGACTTCTTCCATTAAAATGGATTTATTGAGTGAAAATATTTAAGAGTCATATGTAAGTTTGAGAAGAAAGTGTCAAAATGATCCCCTGAATTTTTATAGTGGACCATTTTAGTCTCAGAGACTATAAAAATGTCA